CATTGTTTGTAATAACTATTTGTAATAACCGTTATTGTAAATTGTATTATTCTTTGTATATTAAAATATATTTGTATTTAAGAAAAAACTGTGTGTATCAGTCTTGTTGACAAATATCATAAATTGGATATATATCGGCATTTAGTTAACTACTAAATCTAAATTACCTCAGTTTTAGGCTATTTGAAATTATAATACGTAACAGTAGGTATAGTACATTAAAGTGTATGAGACATCACACGATAAAGGTATAGTACGAATAGTTTGTGAAATATTACACGTAAACAGATATAGTAGGAACCAATGTGTGTGAGATATCACACGGCAAAAGATATATTACCAACTAATTTTGTGTGAGATATCGTACGTAAACAGATATAGTAGGAACCAATGTGTGTGAGATATCACACGGCAACAGATATAGTACAAACATGTATGTGAGATATCACGCGGCAACAGATATATTACGAACTAATTTTTTGTGAGATATCGTACGTAAACAGATATAGTAGGAACCAATGTGTGTGAGATATCACACGGCAACAGATATATTACGTCTTGAACATTATTATATTCTTCATGTGTATTATTACGTTTTCATTTACATTATTAGAGGTGTGTGAGATATTAGGTATAGTACGGCTAGTGTGTGAAATATTGCACGTGAACAGCTATAGGTGAGTGAGACGAAACAACGGATGAGATACCACGTGTGAGTATTGTACGAAGTGACCATGTAACTCTGCAGTGAATGTTTAAATGAAGTTACTTTCTGATAAACAAACTTTTACTCACCAACCTGGAACCTACAGTAGAGAAAGACATAATAAAGTAAGTACAAAGTAACCAAGAATATGTTCTTTACCGAAGTCACTCATTAATCAATAATTTTGCTCTTTATCACGTGAACGTTTTTTTAATCACATATATTCACCTCCTTTTTAAGAGTACCAGATTCTAGACACAAAGATAGAGTACTAAATTAGTTGTTTTTGCTTGTTTATTTATTGTTAACAGGAAAGCTACACAATGGGCTATCTATGTTCTGCCCACCACGAGTATCGAAACCCAATGTTTAGCGTTATAAGCCTTCAGATTATCGCTGAGCCACCGTGGTCGCTAAATAATAAAGATAATAAATAATAATCTGAACTTATATTGTTTTGGATCGTTTGTATTCTTGTTGAATAAAGGCAAAACAGTCAGTTGGAATAAGATCCTTTAATTTTCATACGACACCATTTAAACAGATAACTTATTTATTATGCATTACAATCAGGTATAACTCTAATAATAAAACACAGATCATAGACAACTTCAAGAAACAATCGACAATAATGAAATAAACAAACATAGAAAATTAAAAAAAAAGAGAGAGATTAAAATGAGATACAATACTTAAATAACTTTGTTTAGCGTAAACGGATTGGGACAAATCAGCAGAAACTTAATTAAAAGTAAATGTGAAATTGAAATGCATGACGTTATTTTCTCTTTGAATTAAAGCTTCGGAACTGGCATGTGTAAAGTGTTGTTGAAGAAAAACAAGTGATATACTTTACAAACAATCGTAACTATGGCTACAGTGTTGTAAACTTAACAATTTCCACATGTTGATAACAACGTCTTTTGCCGTTGGTACTAGATATTCGTTCTCCGAATTTTTTGATGTTTTTCTAGTTTTCTAACCAAACTCGGAATCGATAAACTTTAAAAGGAGCTATTACTGCCATGCTTCCGAAGTACGAACGTATAAAATTACTTTTACAATTGTGGCGTTACCAAGGCAACATTATTCATCTGAACAAAGATGCGTCATTTTCGTGATATCGTCGATGAGTTTCTTCCAATGCTTTTAAATTAAATCTAGTTTTTTGTAGAATATTAGAATATATATATATATTTAGTTAGAATTTAATTATTTCATGGAATTATCGTTCTGTTGAAGTCAGATATGTTCCAAAGTGTTTCAATCATTTCTCAAATCGAACCGAAGTGTGTTTTTTTTTGGGGGGGGGGGATATCTGCTGTGTCCACCGAGGGGAATCCGAAGACTTACCGCTGTCCCACAGAGGGATCCGAAGTTCTGTTTTTAGACACAGTCTTGTCAAATATCACATCTATGGAAAAGGCAAGGAAAAAGTATGTAATAAATTCCGAAACTTCTAAAATTGATTAAGTTTTCCCCCATTTCTCGCTAGCTGCTAGTTACATATAATAAATAGGATACACATACTCCCTCGTTTCCCCTAACAAATACCCCTATACACACCTGTTTACATCCTTGCTATCATGTTGAAACACTCATAAAGTTTTTATTACACCTCTGCTGTCATGTTAAAATACTCACAGACTTGTTGCTGTCAAGAATTTCATTAAATATCATAAAATTACTGTTGATTTCTTCTACTGATTTGCCAGTCAAATCCAGAATTATAAACCAAACAAACTAGACTTACCACTGGAGTCATCGGCTTACCAAATCCAGAATTATAAACCAAACAAACTAGACTTACCCCTGGAGTCATCGGCTTACCAAATCCAGAATTATAAACCAAACAAACTAGACTTACCACTGGAGTCATCGGCTTACCAAATCCAGAATTATAAACCAAAAAACTAGACTTACCACTGGAGCCATCGGCTTACCAAATCCAGAATTATAAACCAAACAAATCAGACTTACCACTGGAGCCATCGGCTTACCAAATCCAGAATTATAAACCAAACAAACTAGACTTACCACTGGAGCCATCGGCTTTTTCTAAACTAGTTATATATTGTACGCATCAAATGAGCGAATTCATTCATATGTGATCAGGTCTTCAGGGTGAATGTTGTAAAAGTTAAAAACATCAAATTACTCAGTATGATGTAAATTATGGACCTCACCGACAGTATAAGAATATTTAATAATATCGGTCGTGCAATCCACACTTACACATAAACATCTTTCGTATCATTTCTTGGTTAAGAATTATATGAAGAGGGAAATTAATTGAGTCATTTTTTTTCTGTCCATTTAATGATAGAAATGGTTTATTTAATTATCTTGTTTTGCTTATTTTCATCCTTTTAAAATGATTTGGGATGATTTTTTATTAAATGTGAAACCAAACTAATCACAATTACTTATTCTACCAACCCGAATTTTGAGCAACGTTTACTCATTCTTCCGTCTTCTATTAATCATTAATTGATGTAAACTACACTTTAAACATTGAAGAGAAAATGTATTAATTTGTAAACATGAAATTAGAACGAACAACTCTGTAAACATGAGATTGGAAAAACTCATTAAACCACAGAAGTAATTACCACAAATCACAGATTTAGAGCAATTCCACAAAATTTCTAAGACACAATGTTGAATAAGAAGTCGTAGCAATTCTATAATATTGGTTTGTTTCTCAAATTGTTTATAATACTTACAAGTTTATTTGTTGTTTTTTTGCCAGATTTGATTGTAAAATTTTTAACATCAATCCAAATATATATAAAAATGTGTTAGAGCAATTGATTCAATGAAAATCGTTTCTTCTCCTAATGATAACTATACACTAGCCTTCGCTCGAGTATTTTATTACACACTACAGAGATAGAAAAAAAGCATGAAAAGTAATTCTATCTTACATGAACTTCAGTTTCTGTTCTAGAGTTTGAATACATATTAGAGTTCGACAAAATAATAATACAGTTGTGGTTCAAACGCATGTACGTACACAGTATAACGCTACATCAGCATAGAAAACTTTACCTCCATTACAACTCAACTTAGATTATCATTGGCTGGTTAGATAACCCCCTGTTGCGTACATTTCTGGAAATAGAAGAACTTAGTTATGAGAAAACCAATGTTCTGAATTTTTAATATACAAGAAGACCATTTTTCTTATAAGAACTAACCTTATTCTGCTTAAATTACTTATTAGCAAACCAAGTGTATCTTTAAATGATTTTCCTCACGCGTGTGTATATAACTACAAAATTTAGTGAATATGAAATGCTTTGTAATCTCGTTAATATATAATATGACTGTAACTCCGGTAAGTCTTATAAAATATATTACTCAACCTTTCGTTTCTGTCATAATCATCGAATACTAGTCTGTGAAAATTTAAATTTCTTTGTAATAATAACAATCAGTTGTCCGGTAAATCATTATATTTTTCGGATTACAAATACCTGTAATAAATTCGCAAGACTACGTTTTATTTTTGAATAGTTTTTTTTTCTATTCGTCTATTAAACTTGTTACTCCATTAGATATTTTGAAT